CAAAGAAAGGAAATCACTAATCTTAACTTTCACGGAAAACAGGATTCAAGACATTTTAACACCTTAACGCTTACTTCAAACTTGTACCAAGCGAGTGTAATAGGGACACAAACATAACAGTTGTATAGTGTTTTGTGTCCAATCTGTACTGCTGAAAATAGCCTCAAGAAAAGGTGAAGAAAAAGAAAAATCTGGGCCTACGTACTGAGATAAGCTCACTTGCCCATACAGAAGCCACAGGAAAAGACATAAATATGATGCTCTGAAGTATTTTTCTAATTGATGTTAATTGATTTTTCTAGGTATCAATATAGTGAAAAGGAAGTTAGGAGCCCATGATAATCTGAAGATCGTTATTCAGCAAGACGGAAACAAATTTACTGTCAAAGAATCAAGTAACTTCCGTTCCATAGAAATTGAATTCACTCTTGGAGTCAGTTTTGAGTACAGTTTGGCTGATGGGACTGTATTAACTGTAAGAGACTTTGCCATATGATCATAACTTTATGAAGAACAGATTTAAGATGAATGATTTGTCTTTCTAGTTTTTAAATAAATTTAACTCCTAGGGTCTTTTAAGGTTTGACTACCCAGATATGTTTGCAGCATATATAGAAAAACATAAGTTAGTTTCAATTGTTAATGGAACGACATTTAAATATGAAGCTCAGGGCTAGATGCAGTGCTCAAAAAGCAGATTATCCAGCAGCTTTCACGTGCTGAAAGCCATGCCATTGCAATTATATTGCTTGTAAGACACAACCTAGAGCGAAGAGTGGGTATTTATAAGAAACTGCTTTTTTGGTATTGACATAATTCATTAAAATAACGTGTACTGAGCACTAAAAATAAAAAATCACTAGTTTGATTGACATGCAATTAAATAAATTAGACGTAGTTTCATTAAATATTCCATTTTTACAGCATTTCTGACAATGACAAAAAAAGGATCACATTGTTTCAATCTCTTCCTACTTGTAAACATTGATGCAGTCTTTGTGCAAAATCAGTGTCATCTTTATTTATTTATTTATTTATTTATTTGCCACCACAGGGCTCTTGGAACATAGAAGGAAATAAACTTGCAGGAACATTTACTAGAAAAGATAATGGCAAATCACTCCTGGCATTCAGAGAAATCATAGGTGATGAACTTGTTCAGGTGAGTTAAGCAATCACTTATGTGTAACTTAAAACCATAACGAACTGAAACATTTTCAAAGCTGTTCCAAAAAAGTAAATACTTTATTCATCCTAAATAACCTACCTTTAGTTAAAATTCTCACAGTAATCTATCAAAATTTAAAATTTTAAAATAAAATTGGCAACCCGTGATTTTTATGTTTTCCTACCAGCGTGAAATGGTGAAATGTATCTTACCAATGCATTCTGAACTCTGTGAACAGAGGCTGTCATACCATACACACGCACATTCTGACTGAAGGCCCTTTTCCAAGTGCCTGCCCTTTTAAAGTCTTACTATGGCAGCATCTATATACTACATTTAACAGTTGATATAGGACCTTTCAAGACAAACTTAGGTTTAGGTGTGGGTTTGGGGGAAGGGGAAGAAGGGAGTGCTTCACAGCTCTGTGGTAAAGCTAGAAACTAAACTCTAATGTTTTAAAATCCTCTCCGCTATTTCATCACAAGCTTAAAAAAATTCCACGAACAGATGTGAGATTTGAGATACCAAATCCACACAGTCTAACCCTTCAGCCTTTCTCCACAATTTTAATATAGGCAGCCACGTAGATGAGGCTTGTTAAATAACGGTGCTGGGAATATGGGGTTTGAACTTTTTTTTTTTCCCAAGCCCCTAAAAGTTTTCCAGTGACAACACAAATGTTTGTATAGAGAATTTATAACTATTGACAATAGGCTCCTTTTCTTAAGTTCCTTTCCTCAGAGCCCTTACAAGCAGTCTATAGAGCCCCAAAGTGCCACCTGTCCCAATTAACCAACCACTATTAACCATCTCTCAACAGAATCTGTGAAATAAATTTTTGTAATAGCAGTTACTGATTTTTCCCCTTAATTTTTTAACAGACCTATATATATGAAGGAGTTGAAGCCAAGAGAATCTTCAAAAGGGGCTAAATACTTCATCCAGAACAGGACCAGAAACAAAATCTGATGAAAAAATATTTTTTCTACTTATCCTCTGCTTCTTTTTCCTTTCACTCCCTCACAGCACAAAATTGTGATTACTTACCCCAAAGAAAGCATAGGCCAGTTCCTCACATTTAGTCTTTTGCCTTGATTACACAACATCAATTACACTTTGATCCAAGTACTGAAATGTTATTTTTACCAAGCCGTTCCTGTTTGAGTACCACATTCTCCCTGTATTGAATATTGTGTAATAAGGATTGTAAAATCTAAAAGAACCCTGAAAACACCCAAGTCTCCCAGACAACTATATATACAGACTATGAGTAAAAATATTGCAGGTACATTAAAAAGATAAAGAATGACTTCAGACTAAGTTGACTTCAAATACTGGTGCTTCTCACGAGTGAATAAATATGTATAATGTTCTGCTCATATTGTCCAGTCTGTACATGATGATTTTAATTCAGCCTCTCACCCTTCAGCCGCACCATTTCCTAAGGGCTGAGGTAATAATAATTAATCTTTTGAGGGTCAGCATTACTTTAGGCCCACTGTGCCCCTGTAATCATGTGGTAATATAGTGCTGTCCCTATGTCTAGGGGGTAGCCTGCTTCCCAGCCCTGCACCCCTTCTTGAACACCTGTGGAACACACCTGCATGCTGCAAGAACTCTTGTTCTTCAGTAAATATTCCCCAATACTGTTTTCTTAGCTTCTGAGGATTTTGCATCCATGTTCCTACTGTCACAGTTAGGAATAAAAAAAAAAAAAAAAAAAAAAAAACCTGATTCATGTAAGAGCTTTGCTGAAAGGTGAAAAATATTGTGCGGCCCTGAGGACAGCCTTGAGGTTTAACCCAAAATATCAATGCAGCCTGATCTGTAAAGTCTCACAGCACTTCATCACAGAATTCCCTGATGACAGCATGTGGCTAGATAATCTTCTGCCATGTGCTTATTTGTATGCTGTTACAGATCCCAATTTCAAATATCTTTTCTGAACAGGTATGTTTAAATTATGACTTTAATGGATTTTTTAAATATCTCACAAAATTTTTTCTATTATTTTCTTGGCTGTCTTTGACTGTCTTTTTCCTGGGCATAAACGACAAAAAAAGAAAAACAAAACATTTTTTTCCTTCAGTTATTGATGTTTCTCTAGCCTACACTTTTTTGGTTTTTAGAGTCTCATAGCTCCCTCTATTGGTAAAAGGCTCTCATGAATCAAAAAACGTTCAGGTTAGGATTGGCACATATCACCCTTCATTATAAGTTGTTTTTTTCCCCTCCAAATATTGGTTGAATGCAATTTCCTGTGTAGATACAATCTTCTTCAGTGGACAGATATACCACATCACAAAGAAGAAAAGATTACCTTACACAGTACCTCACTTCAATGAAGAGGCGTAAAATGGGGAAACAAATTATGAAAAGAAACCAAAAAATACTATATCTGAAACTATAGTACTACCAAATTCTGTGCATCTCTAGGTTGCTTTATTTAGATACTAAAGCCTTTGAAAGAGGAATAAGAAGAATAATAGCTTGCAATAAGCTCCATGGCAGCTTCTTTCACTAAGGCTATGCGCACAGAACAAGTAAACTAAACTGTAAGAGGCCCTAACCATTAAATTTCCATTACAGAGTTTGACCTTCATTATCAGCTGTATGTCATTATTGCTTCTAAACCGTAGAGAAATATATTAATGATTATGTCTCAAAGGTTTCAGGAAATTAGAGGAAGCTATTTTATTTCCTTAGACACTTTACTGGCTGGAAGGAAAGCTGTATTACGTTTCTGAATGTGTTCTCTATTTCTTCCCTGAGTATGCTGACTCTGTAACAGTCTCACACTCTCCTGGTTCAGAAAGCTAAACCCTACCGCATTCTTTGAAACATACTCATCTCTACCACATCTGCAGCATAACACATATTGTTTCATGGTTATTTTGATCTAGATTACTGGATCTATTTGACTGATTGGCTGCAATAGGAAGACATAATTAATAGGATTTTTTCTGTCAAACACTTGAGAAACTATTCTAGTAAGTTTTGGATTACATACAAGACCATGAACTGAAAAGTAATGTGATATAAAAAACCCAAAGATATGACCTGTAAAACATTTAACAACTCCAAATATTCCAGACAGGCAAGGTGAGCAGCTGTTTTGAATATACTTGAAAAATGAGAAAAAAAAACTCTAAAAACCTAATCTCTAATATTTGAGCTAGAATCAGCAATAAGTGTTGAGGGGAAGGGTACAACTTTGGCAGTGGTAGACTTTGGCAAACCAACCAATAGGATCACTATATTAAAAAGTGAATGAGATAGTCTAGTAAATTTGACTAGGAGACTTATGTTTCCTATTGTTTTCAGAATTACATTACTTTGCAACCTAAGAGGAAATAATTTGCCTCGAGGAAACTGCAATCCGTAACTCCCTTTGCTCAAATGAGGCAGTAAAGATCACTAAAAGAAATACATTTGGGTATATGGGGGAAATATTAATAATATTCCTCAAAAACTCTGTAACGTACTTCATGTACTATGCATAGGCTTAACTGAAACTTTATATAGAAAGACAAATTAAAGTTCATACTGATTTGTAACAATCCTATTGACTGAAGGAAAATAGTTAGGCCTAAATGCATGCTTATGAGATGCTAAACTCTGACCAGATGCTTCTCACCCACTATCTACAGAAGTGCTGCTTTGTCTCCTAGTAGGATGAAACAAAGTGTTAACAGCTACAGTGAGGAACTCTTTATTTAGGACACAAAAATAATTATACTCCTTTCAATCCTGACTGAGCTGGTTGGACTAAGCATGCCACACCCATTCAGGCAAGGGTGATACATGAATTACTCTGTGGCTCTTTAGGGTGCAGAAGCTCCAGCGAACTTTCAAGCACAGGGGTATAGCTTTAAACTATTTTAAGTTCCCTATATATCTTTGCACAAACATTTCCTAGATGTTACCTCAGTTTTCTCAAGAGGATCATCTGCTCTCTAAGCAGCTGCATCAGGAAAAAGTCTTTGTAAACGTTTATTTCCTTAAAAATCCTAATACAGTTTCTTAACAAGGCCAACATGATTTAAATGGACTGACCAGCTGTCTTTCCCCATAGCCTTGTCTCACCTGGCCATGTGCCCAAGCAGTGGCAGGCAGCACTGGTGCCCAAGTACTACTACAGTAATGCCAGTCACCAGCTCAGTCAGGCTCACACAGTCCCCAAGAAGCCTCGGCTTCTTCTCAGCACTAGCAGCAGCAGCGGCCCTGCCTGTGTCTTTAGGGCATATCTTTACCACACGTTAGCCAAGCTCTGCCACAAAACTACCTGGGCCTGTCCTCGCCACCAGCTCCTCAG